CTTTTACGGGTCACAGCTCTATTTCAGCGAGTCACAGTCCCAATTTCTAGGTCACGGACACCCACACAGGTCACAGATTGAAAAAAAATCAAAACTTTTACTTGTCGCAACTCTATTTCAGTGAGTCACAGTTACAATTCATAGGTCACAAACACCCACCTAGGTCACAGACACCCACGATCGCCGCCGCCGCCATAGCCGACATCCCAACCACCACCAAAAATATTAGATTCACGTAACCACTACCGCCAACACGACCACCGCCAACAAAAATCACTACACTTCGACCCATCCCATATGAAAAAACCAGACCACACATCCCGTCTTCGCGACGGTATTTTTGACACGAAATTGTAGCAAAACAAAAACAAGAATCGGTATCCAACAGCGAAGAACACAACACGAGTAAATTTTCCCACCTGGAGTTACTGTCCTGCGATATGTCGTTCACGTTTCGAAGAGCTTGATAACCGGATATGGTAAAATTCAGAACACTAAAGATTGAAGAACAAATCGTAATTTTCACTCAACCATCCATGATTGGCATTTCTTCTGAGGGTAACAATGAAAAGTTTACAGAAAACATTCACCTACAACTATCTCTGAAGAGTGCAGCAGCGTCGCGACGCTCAACATAGACGAGGGAGGGTCGACGCTACTGAACATAGAGAGGGGGAAGTGGGAGGGAGGAGAAGAAATGGAGGAGGTGGCAGGCGGTGGTGGTGGGAGGAAGGAGAGAAATGGAGGAGGTGGTAGAGAGAGGTGAGAGAGGGGAGAGAAATAGATAGATTTAGGGTTGGGATAAATTAAAATGATAAAAACCTGAAAAATGGAAAAATAGAGTGAAAACCTGATTTTTTAAAAGGTGAAACTAAAGAGCTGGTTTAAGCTAATTTTCCCATGTCGAAACTCAGAAGGGGAAAGCTTTGAGAAACTATCGGACGAGGTAGATGGGGAAAAAACTTTGGACGTAAGTTAAATTTAAAATATTCTTGAAATTGTTAAATAATTAGAGTAGGGGTGTGTTTGTCTACCATTATTGGGAGAAAAATAAAGTAATGAATATAATTTTTTGGAAAATGTGTGGTTGGAAAGTAAAGTAATTTTATTGGTTTGTGTGTAGAATATTTTATTGGATAAATGTGTGACAGAGAATTTTACTGTAGCAAACAATTTTTTAAAATAATGATAGACAAACAGGGGCTAAATTTGCTTTGAACATAAGTTTATTTTTTCTTCATTTTATTTTTTTCCAAAGTGCCACTATCTTGCTTTAAAATACTTAACCGCGAAAAATATAAAACTTTTTTTTTTTGACGTATTTTTATTTTTTAAAACCTCATTTTTGGGGAAATTAGGCCAAGTCCAGTCCAAAACTAATAAAATTGAATAATATACTTAATTAATACTTTAAATTAACTGTAATTAATACGCTAAAAAGGCCCAAACTTGATGAAAAGAAGTCATTAGGCTGAAATAACAAAACACTAACTCTCATTGATTACCACTGATTAATAGCTCCACCACCGTTAGAGACTCGAACCATGGGTGAAGAAGGCATCGATACCATTAGAGACTCGAACTATGGGCGAAGAAAACGACAATACCATTCTAACTTTGTTTAGATTTTTAGGGAATTTTCGTTCCTCGTATGTGTGTTGTGTGTAATATGAATTTCCACAGCATATCCTAATTCTTGATGGTATATATATAGCTTTGGCAACCATTTTTATGGTTTTGGAGTTTCGTGTAATGCTACTGTATTGATTCCTTTTTTCATCCTTATTTCTTTTTTGTATTTTTTACAATATGTCTAGTGTAGACAAATTGGAAAACTAAATTCTCATACCGAAAACATGAGATTTTGGAGAGTGTTTTTGGATTCTGTTTTATTGGTTATGATTTTTGGAGTGGTTGCACATTGAGCGTTTTTCCAATCTGATTCAGTTGGCTTCTCTATTGCTTTAGAAAGAAGATAAATTACCAAGGTACTTTGCTCACCTTGGGATTTTTTTTCGATGTTTTGATTTTCCATTTCATTTCTTTATTTGCTATTTCTCTGTATTTTTTCTTTCTTATTTTCTGAAACGTTCAAAATTTGGTAATCTCAGCAGATTTGCTACCAGTAGCCTAGCAGTTTTGGGCAATCTTATTTTACACACATCATGCTTCCTGTGTTTTTGGTAGCAGTTGATTTCAAATTCTTCCCGTCCACTGTGCAGTCGGGAATAAGAGGTAATTGTTTTTCTGAAGTGACTGAGAGACTTGCTACAATGTGTGTCCTGTCAATTCTAATAGTGGGCGTGCTAGGACACCCAAGCAAGCATGAAGAATTGACCCAGTACTTGATGAACCTTTTCATTCAAAGTTCTAGACTGGAAGGTCAGCCGGCAAAACATGAGATAATGAATTTTGTTCGTTTATTTTGTTGGTATAGTCGGATTAATTTTCAAAACATCGAGATTGTGTGTTGAGTTCAGTTATTTTTGTATTGAGTTTTAGCATTTCCACTATGCAGCATCTTTGAAGAACATCAAAGTATGATATTTAACATCTTCTGAGAATTGGTTGTGAGTTCTGACATGAATTTGAAAATCAGTACTGCCCATTTTTTTTTTAAAAGTCATTATTAGTTCTCTTTATTTTTAAATAACAATCATTTCCTTATAATTTTACGGTTTCTTTTAATACTTTGATTTCCTGGTCTCTTAGGTGTCATATATTGATGCAAAGGCCGTCTCAACTCATGTATTGCCTGCTCTTGTAACTCATGGTTCTAAAACTTGAACATGAAATATGCCAGTATTGGAATGATTTCGTGTTTGATTATGCCCCCGTTTGGGGTACATTTTTGGAAAAAAAAATGTATTTTTACTGTTAATGTGATGAGGAATATGTGATTGTACAAGAAAGGAACGTTATTGATGTGATGGAAAATATTATTTTATTGAAAAATGTGCGGTTGAGAATGAGTAGAAAAATGAGAATGAAAAAATTAATATGGATCAAACAAGACCTATATTTATAACGGAAACAGCTATAATGAAACAATAACATGGTTAGTTCTGTTTGTAATGATTTTGTGTTTGAATTGAATCAATTTTATGCAGGTAGTTGTTTGGCATTTTCAGCTATTGTTGGAATTGAATTTCCATAAAATGATATATTTTAAGGTTTTGATTGATGTTTTGTCACTTTTTTGAATTTACGTCACTTTTTTGAGATTGTCACTTTTTTTAATAGCGTGTCACCTTTTTTATTTCAAAATTTTCTATCACTTTTTTGAATGACAAACATTATTTTTAATAAAAGTGATATTGCATGTTAACACTTAACTTTATACAATATCTTTTACTTCTAAAAAGTTTTTTATATTATAAATGGGTTGACCGAGTTGGTAGATGACGTTGGCGATGAATTAACTTAAAGAAGTTTGGCGCTTTCATTGGTATTTTGTTGATGAATTAACTTAAAGATGTTTAGTGGTGAACGAAGAAAGAGGAGAGACGGTGGTTCTGTCACTTTGTTGAACTGATTACAGTGTTTTAATTGGTGTTTGACACTTTTTAAAAATTTTATCATTTTTTAGTGTTTGCCATTTTTTTGAATTTTTATCACTTTTTTGAATTTGTGTCACTTTTTTAATATTTGTTACTTTTTTTTTTGTCAATTCTTTGAAATTTCTATCACTTTTTCGAGTGACAGCCATCATTGTTTTTAATAAAAGTGAAATTGTATGTCATTTTTTTAATAAAAAAAAGAAGAAACATTTAACTTTAAAAAGTGACTGTTGGTCACTTTTTTAGCGTCACTTTCTACTAAAAAGTGACAATTAATTTTACATAAAAAATTTTACTTCCAAAGTATGTTTCATATGATTTTTCAAAGGGAAAATTTCAGAACTAAGATGTTAAGTTTTATTAATTTCAAATCTAAGAGATAAGGTTTAAAATTTCAAATTTCAGAGTTTTTAACGTTTAAAATTTCAAATCTCAAAAAATTTTAAATTTTATTTATAAATTAATTAATTAAACATATATTTTATTAATTAAATATATTAAGGTCACAATTCAATATAATTTGATCCCAATTTCTATATAATCGATCACATATTATTAATTTGTCACAAATCACAAATTTTACATGTCACAAATTATTTTACGGTCACAATTCAAAAAATTTATATGTGACAATTTGTTCATCGGTCGCAAATAAAAAATTGAAACGTCACAAATTATTTGACGATCACAATTCAAAAATTTTATATATCACAATTTGTTTATTAGTTACAAATCAGAAATTTTATAAGTCGCAAATTATTTTACAGTCACAAATCAGAAATTTTATAGGTCGCAAATTATTTTACGGTCACAATTCAAAAAATTTATAAGTTACAATTTATTTATCGATCACAAATAAAAAAATGTATACGTCACAACTTATTTAACAGTCACAAATCACAAATATTATAAGTTACAACTTATTAGATAGTCACAAATTATTAAATTATCGGTCACAAATTAACAATTTTTTAGTTCACGCATTATTTTTTTGTCACAGTTTATTTTTCTCATTGGTTGAATATTATTTATCGGTCACATATTGATGAACTTAATGGTCGCAAACAACCTAATAATATGTGACCAGCAATCGTACTTATGACCATCATCTCACCATTGCCACCAACAGTATGGCAACCGAAACCCCATCGCAGGAACCACCACAACCACCTCTTGACAGCAAGCTATCACCGTTACTGTCGACATCACCTTCGACCACCACCACCGTAGTCAATATCACAAGAACACTACCCAAACACCATTACAAAATCAAATCCAAAATAATTAATCACCGCCTCGACCACTACCAACACCGCCACACTAACATCGCCACCACTAGCATCACCACAACCATAAACACCGCGACCATCTACACACCACCACTAACTACCCCAAAAACTTCGACACCCAAAAGTTTAGATTTTCCACCACTAGCAACGACTCTCACGCCTAAAAACATCGGCTCCCAAAATTGACACCACAATCGCCGCCTAAAAACTGAACAACCAGGATCGTGACCATCACAGGCTCCACCATCACCACAACCACTAGACGCCCACCACCAACAACTGCACCAACCAACAAAACTCACTGCAAATTTTTCGCCTCCAGATCGCGACCAACTTTTCCCAAACTGAGATCATCAAAACTCACAAAACCAAACAAATCTCCTACAGCAGCAATGCTAACCCATCATTTGCCGCTGTAGCAGCGACGCTCAAGCATTTCGAGACAACATCGACGCTGAGCGCATTGCACAACGGTCGTTGTTGAAGCGTCTCACATTGGCAGTGAGTCGGTGACAACGTCGCTGCAAAGTCATTGTAGTGACAACATATGTGATGGTCTCTGGCCAAAGCTTATGGTGGTTGGGATACAGCAGTGGAAGAGAGAAAGAAGAAGTTAGAGAGAGGAGGTGAGGTTGACGGTATAGATAAAGAATATATGAAAATTATTAGGGTTTTGAATGTGTGGTTGGATTGGGTGGTTATTAATTTGATTTTGTAATATAATTATTAATAATGAAATTTTGAATTAATATCTGATTTTTTGAAATTGAATTTTAAAAAATCTAGATGGCTGTAATTTCCACTTTTTCAAAAGACCCTTAATTTTAAGGGTATTTTTGCAAGTTGCCCGTCATTTATTATAGTTAGAAATTGGGCTAAGTTAGTGGCTTGGCCAATGAAAGGAAGGAAAACATGCTAAGTTGGGCCCAAATTGGCGTGGGCTCCATATGGGCCGAACCGAGCCTCGTTGCAGCAACCAATTAGCCCATTAGACAATTTGGAAGCAAATAAAGAGCAATTAATGTTTATTTATAATCAAGATGATGGAACATACGTGACAATCCATTATCTTTCACAGTTCTCATAAAAATTGAATTGCACAATCTCATTATTTCATATAAACTATCACATCACCAATTTTTCATTATCACAATAATAAATAACATTATTTTTAAATTAAAATTTAAGTAATTATTTTTGAAAATCTTAACATTAGTATCAGTTGTCATTTGACATTTGCAACTCAAGCACGAAAGCATCTCACTTAACTTTAATAATTAGATTGTAGTTTTAAACTCAACTTCCTAATTACCTAATTCAATAATTTGCCCTTTATAACTCAGTTGGGACTTTCTCAAACACTGCCATAAACTTGCGTGACGCATGTTTTTTAAAGTAAATACAATTTTTTTTAGTAATGTTATTTGCAGTCGCTTATTATCATTGTCATCCTATGCGACATACATTTGACAGTTAGTTATTTGATACATTAGGTAATAAAAAACTACAAAATTAATGTATCGAAACACTAATCGTCACATGTATGTTACGTAGGGTGATTACGGTAGTGAACTACTGTAAATAAAATTATTTTATTTTATTTTGTGGATATGTGAGATTGAAAAATGAGGGAAAATTGTGGATTGATGGAATATATGGCTAAATATAATTTTGAAAAATTGTACCAAACGAACTTTGAGTAAAGTAGCCGAAACATCAATTTTTTTCAATGGAATAATCATAGTCGAAACTTCAAATTCTTGACCTTGATTTCTATCAAACAATGGGTTGGTCCAAATTCATCGGTTAGTATCCCTATCAATCTAGATTCTTAATTAATATAAATATTAATAGTTTGGTCCCACTCACTTATAATTTTGAAATTTGAAAATTCAAAAATACTGCTAGTAAGGTAGGACAAGAAAAATAATTATACTATATTAAAATACTATTATTATACATAAAAGTTTGAGAAAATGATAAGACAAATGAGGGACATGAACAGCATTCAAAACAAGTGTACAATGTTTGACCCCATTTTAAATTATTTTTTTTAAAAATTAATTTTCAACGACGTATTTTTTCAATAAAATATTTTATATATAAATAAATACATTTTTCATATTTTTTAATAACACGTTCTCCAATAAATCATTTTTTATGAAATTCGGCCTTAGGCCCTGTTC